GGTTGCCTCTCAAGTGGTTGTCTCTCATAAATGTCAGCGATACGGCAGACCACAGACCCGCAGACCCACAGACCCACAGACCCCCAGCCACATCCGGCAAACAGGTGCAAAGCAGAGCTGCACAGCAAAAGCTTTTAGAAATATAATACCTGCAAGACAACTTGATTCCCCTTCGTCTACAATACGATACTACAATACGAATACGGCAAGTGAAATAATAGTCTAAGGCTCAATTAATCCACCAAAGTATGCTTGCTATACTTTTTGTATAACTGACCTATGATCTAAGTTAGATTTAAATATTTTAGCGGGAATAGCTAATTGAAAGAGAACAGTTAATTAAATAATCAACTTTCAGTAGCAGCAGCTGCATCAAATCCTGTCAAGATTTTCGATGGGAATGTGGAGCATCATAATAAATCAAAGAATTATTTCTTCTCTTATACGTAAAGTAAAAAAATAAAAAATGATAAGAAATAAATAATAACATTAATTAAATAAATTCAATTTTTGTAATTTATCTAAACTTAAATAAATATAATGTAAATTATAAAAATAATTTCAATTTGAATTAAATAAAAATAATAAATTTAAATATAATAAAATAAAAATAAGTAAACTCGAATAAAATTATAAACCAAATATTAAAAATTCAATTAATTTAAGAATAAAAAAAAAAACTAATAAAAAAAAACATCTATATTAAAATTACAAAAATAAGATCAAATTAAAATAAAAATAAATAAAAAAAATTATAAAAAATAAAATGCAATAAAATAAAAAATAAAATACAATAAAATGAAAATTATGTAAGATAAAATATAAATAAAATAAAAGAAAATAAATTATGTAAGATAAAATATAAAATATAAATATAAAATATATAAATAAAATAAAAGAAAACAAAATTTAAAAAAAATAAAATAAAATAAAAATAACATAAGATAAACCGAGAATAAAAATAAAATAACAAAAACAAACTAAAAACCAACAAACAAAAATAATAATAAAATCAAAATGAAATAAATTCGATAAATGAGTCTATTCATCATTTTATTAAGCTCAGGCAATGTTGTCTATTCTTGTCTATATTTTCACATATACTAATGAAGTAATAGAATTAGATGCAAGATGCCCTCAACACCAACCCAACAAAGTCTTGTCGTAGAGTCTATCCCATCTATTATACATACATTCCCTTGAGCTTCACCTATGAAAGTTGCACTCTTAAGATCTCCGCCCTACTTTGAGCAAAGTTTCTGTGGACCTTGTTTATGAAGTCAAATTAATTAAATATTTAATTTTCAATTGCCCAAAAGCCGTCCTGCTAAGCTAACTGTGAATATCTAATCCCATATAGAAGAAAACTAATAATAAAAGTTTATTTAAATACTTTCATACGAGTTAGAGAGGTATTTGGGTAAAGAACTATATTTTTTAGGTATGCTATAATTATTTCAATCTCACAATCAACCTAATCCAATTAGCAGCTTTAATTTTTGTTCACTCTTTTTATATGATTAAGCGAATCCTAAGCCGAGCCAAGCCAAACCGCAACACGCACCGGAAAAGCAATATTTTTCTGCAAAATACATAACCTAAATGGCTTGGGCAAAGCGTTCACATTTTCACATACATATACATATATATATTTGTTTTATATATGTATGGTTATACATATATGCATGTATATGTGTATGTGCATATCCAACCTGCCTTTGCTTCTTGTTGCGGACGCTCTTTGGACCCGTTTTTTCCCATTAGCCCTTTTCCCCATTACATTTGCATTTCTGTTTGCTCAACCTGTGCCCCACGCAACGCTGTTCGACCGTGTCACAAAATCAATTAAAAAACTGCCTCCCTGCACCGCCCCGCCCACGCCCATCTACGCCCATCTCTTGACGCTATTTGCACTGGACAAACATTACAATATTTTTGTTCACCTCTTTTCGAAACTAACACAAAAAAAAACAAAGGTGGACTAAACGGTGTCCCGAGATGATGTGTCCAGTGAGCCACCCCATCAGCTAGCCAGCGGCTGGCTGACCCACCGCCACCCACTTAGAGTAGCCAGCGACTAATTTCTCGTTGTGCACGTTCAACTTTCGTAATTTCCGGCACTTTTTGGGCGCGTCAGACGGCGTCGCTTGTTGAGCAATTATGCCACTTGCCACTTGCCATGTGCTGCAATAGCTGCCTGTGGCTCAGCCAGTGCCACGCCCAACCGCCCAGCTGCCCAGACCCAGCCGCACACAGCCAATGTCAATGTCTGCGCTCATCTGTTGGGCTTTGGGCTTTGTCAGAGTCTCTTGTTGTCTGCATAAATCAAATATTTGCTAATAACCCGACAAGCACACATACACACACACACACACGCACACACACACACATTGTCATTTCCGGCTGCATTTGTTGATCTTTGCACTTTTATTGTTGTTATTGCAATGTTGATTGCATTACATGAAAATAATTAATACAAAAGCATTTGCACCTCCTCTCGCTCTCTCTGCTCCTCTCTCTCTCTCTCTCTCACACACACACACACTCGCTGTGTGCTTTTGCTCATTTCCCTTGTATGCCTTTTAATTTTTAATTAAATTGCAACGATTGCTGCTGCATACTTTGAGGCGCAATTCGCTTAAATCGAATTACCAGCAACATTTAAATTGAGTTCCACGACATGAGGCGGCCAGCCACGCCCACTTGCCAGCTTGCTTATCAATTGTGCTGCGAGACAATGCGATTAACTTGCGCCCAGCAGCGCTGAAATTCTCATTCACAGCTCGTATAACACTCTAACCACATGCTAGTCACGCCCCCCGCCCTTCCCTCTGACGTGGGCGTGGTAGGTCATTGTCAGCGCATTTGAAATGAGCATCAATTTTAGCGTTTCGCTGCCAACTAATCACGTGTTAATTTTTATTTTAATGCGATTGCATCAGCCAATGGATTAGATTAGAGATTAGAGAGCAATGCACTGCAGAGAGCTACCAGATAAACCTATTATATTTACATATATATAGATAATCATATTTTACTATTAAAATAATTAGCCAAAATTTAAAGCAGTTCAGCTGATGTAACAGCTAATTCCATTTAGTGGCTCGAATTTCAAACAAATTGTCAAGACCAGGAGAGGGCGGAAGAAGCAGAAGAAGTAGATGGGGCAGATAATAAGGAAGCGGAAGAGATAGCAGCTTACTTTATAGTCTCCTTTGTAACTGAAAGTGAAGCATCTCAGAAACAGAAGCTGGCAATTAAAATGGTTTTTGATGATTCTATTTTAAGCTTTTTGGCTTGAATTTTTACCTAAAAAATAGATCCACTTTTGATACGCTTTTATAATTCATATTGAAGTTATATCTACAGCTTCATAAGGAAATTGCCTAGGCGCCCACTTAGAGATCCAGTTTTTCTATGCTATGGGTCCATTTAGAGACTCGTTTATTCTATTCTGTGAACCCAATCGAGTGTGGGTTGTTCTACAATAATTTCTCATTTAATTTCATGTATAGCTTTCAAGCTGAGTTAAGGTAGCGTATTCTAGTTCGGCACTTCCTAACTAGAAGAGCTCCACTTTCTGCTGCTGTCTCAAGCAACTTTGGCACCTTTGACATGCATTGACTTGAGATTTTACTTATGACTACTAAATAATAAAAAATATAATATTTGAATTAAGTATAAATATTTAAAAAATAATGATTTTATTTATTTTAAAATATTTAAACTTGATTTATGATTTAAATAATTTGAAAAGTAATCCAAAGTATTATAAAATCAAATAAGAGAGGTCTAGTCGAAACTGTTTCCCTTTGAGCAACTAATATTTTAATAATTCTTTGCTTATCGATAACAAAAAAAACATGGGAGTATTTATCGATTTTTGGAAACCAGCTTGATCTGCGCGTGTAATATACGAACTTATGAAAAATAAACTCAGCTGTCTAGCTTTAGTATCTACTTAGATCGACGCGTTTAATATGGGCAGATTGGGCGATTCAGCTTGTCGTCCTCATCATTAATACATTTACTTTATGGGCTCTGCCACGCCTCCTTCTGCCTATTACATGCATTTGATAAAAATATTATAGCTTAATTTCCCATTTTCAATGGGTATACAAACTAGAGTTACTTTATTGGAAATTAAAAACCAATTTAAAAGGTCTATTTTTGTAACTCAAGCTCTGTTTACCTGATGCAAAAATATATATATATGTTAGGTAAATACCATAGGATATATAATATCTGTAAATCCTACAAATAGCAGAGCTTCTCAGCAACAAAAATTATCTTTACTTAGAATGCATTCAAGATTTTCTGTAGAGTGCGAAATGTATAAAAAAAAAATGTTTTTAATATTTTCTTGCACCGCATTTTAGTGGCAATCAGTGGCACGCCCATGCGGCCCACCAGCGCCCCGCCACGCCCACATCGCATCGACAGCACTCAAGATAATTATGTGCAAGGCGGAAAACTGTGTCAGTCGTCGACGGCAAGTGAAAATGAGCAAGAAAACGGCTGGCTTAGAATCAGCGGTAAATGAAAAATGAATAATGAATAAAACTAAATAAGAATAAGAGGGAGAAGAAGAAGAAGAAAAAATAACAGCAAGAGCAAACAGAAGCGGCAAAGTAAAAACTAAAGCTAAACCACGGCCTGCCCATTGACTATGAAAACTGATCAGTGGCTTCTCCAGCCGAGCAGTCGTCGCTGAGGCATGGGGCATGGGGCGTGTAGCATGAAGGAGGGGCAGACACAGTGGGCAGCTAATTAGACGGCGTGTCGGCAGCCAGCAAAGTGTGAAAATGGGCAACTCACAGTGGGTGGAGTGGCCGGCATTGGACTCGAATTGGATTGCAATTGGTATTTGAACATGGATCGGATTGAATTGGCTTGGATTGGCTTGGATTGGAATGGAATGGACTGGACTGGCACGCGACGCCATTTGCTCAGCCGTAACGCCAGCCACTCGGCCGGCTGACTCATTTGCATATGCAAACTTTCTATGCGAGCAATGCGAATAATTTATGCTGATGAGCCAGCGGGTCGATGGCATGGGTGAGGTGATTGGAATGGAGTGTGGGCACTTACCCTTCAGCAGATGCTGCAAGATGTTGTCCTTGTGCTCCTCGGAGTGCGGCTCGCCCATCACAATCAGCAAGTAGCAGCCGGTTAGCGGGCTGGGCGGCCCAACGATGCCGCCGGCCAGGCTAGAGGCGCCGCCGCCATCCGAGCAGGCGGTGTCCAGCGGCGGACGGCCGCCAATTTCCGACGGCGGCAATGAGCTGGCGCCCGCATCCGTGGCCGCATCGTCGACAGCCTCGCCAGCAGCTGCACTGGGACCAGCTGCTGCTCCGCCATCCGCATCCCCAATCGCATCCCCATCCGCATGGCTGGCCGTTGGCAGCTTGACCGTCGACACCTGGGCCTGGCCGGGCTCCTGGGCCGGATCGTTGCCTCCAGTGCCGTTGCCATTCCCATTGCCATTCCCGTTGCCATTGCCATTCCCATTGCCATTCCCGTTGCCATTGCCGTTGCCCTGGCCAGTCCCGTTGGCTTGGGCTGGGTCTTCCGGAGCGGTAGCTGCCATTGCGGCGGCTGCTGCGCTAGTTGTTGTTGTTGTAGTATTGGTTGTAGTTGTTGTTGTAGTCGCTTTTGGCCGATCTCCCATCACAGTTGTTGCTGTTGCTCTCACAGACTCACGGGCACACAAAAAAAATTCCTAGACGTACACTTGAAAAAAAATATCGTATCGCTTAGCGCTTTGACGAGTTTTTAAAACTCTGCCGTACTTGTTGTCTCTCTCTCTTCTCTCTCTCTCTCTCTCGCTCTCTTTCTTTCTGTGACACACACACACACTCACTCACTCAGAATACGTGCGTGTATTTAGCTATCTCTGTCTGTCTCTCTCTCTCTCTCTCTCTCTCTCTCTCTCTCTGTCTTGCGCGGCGTTACGGGCACGTCAAATTTCTTGGAAATTTTGCTGTCCGTTAAAACGGCCGATGCTCAGTCTTAACTGCTTTGCCAAATGGGCGGGCGGCTAACGAGGGCGTGGCAGCGTTTGCTGCTTCACTTCACACGCTGCTTGTCGGTTGTTGTTGTTGTGTTGTTTGTTGTTGTACTTTTTGTTTGCTGGCCGTGACTTGGGCGCTTTTTTCAATGAGTTCTTCACTTGGTTTTGTTTTTGTTTTGTCTTTTTTTTCTCTTGTCTCTGCAAATTTTTGCTTAATTGGAATTTAGTTTGTGTGTGTATTTTTTTTTTAATATTTGAAATTAAATATTTGTATTTTACGTTATTTGCTTTAGTGTTTTTTCCTTTTTATTTATTGTGCACACGTTGAAGCTGTGTTTAATTTTGTTTTTTCTTCTTTAAATTAAATTATGTAGATTTCGTTTTTGTTTTGACTTTTTGGGAATTTTCGTAAATTATTTTTTATTTTATTTATTTTATTTTTTTTGCTTGGAGTAAATTTTTGCGGCGATTGGCGTGTTGATTTTTGGTTTTTGTTTGTTTTTTTTTTTAATCTTCAATTAAATATAATTTTTTCTTTTTTTTTCTTTACTGTAGATTTGGACTAGCTTTTACTTGTAGCAATGCTCTTTTAGTATTTTTTTTTTTTTGTTAGTAATAATTAATTTAATAATTGTTCATTTGCGTTTTTCTTTTCAAGTGTTTATGTAAGTGTGTGTGTGTGTGTGTGTATGTGAATGTTTTTAACATGCAAATTTTCGTTTTCTGTTTTTTTATTTTCTTTTATTTGTTTTTGCTTGAGTTGCGTCTAGATATTTATATATATATATGCTTTTTTGCTTTTTGAATGTCTTTCTTTGGTTTGCTTTTTTCTCTCTTTGGTAATCTTTTTTTTATTATTTTAATTTAGCTTTCTTCGTTTGCTGTTGAATATATATTTTTCAATCTGCAAGAAGTAAGAAAAATTGAAAGTTACTTAAAATATGAATAGATAACAAAAATATTATTATTTTTTATATGTATAGAAAACATTTTTTTTTTTTTTTCAATAAATAGATTATTGTTAGCTTGTAGATATTTAAAAAAATTAACATAATTTTATTGGAATATAAAAAAAATATATATATTTTTTTTTACATATATAAAAAGTTTCATACTTTATAGAATTTTTAATGAACTTAAAATATACGTCTGTAACTTTAAAAAAAAAAATATATAAATAATAATAGAATAATGAAGGGAAATTCAAAAGGAATTACTTATAATACTTGCTGAGGAAATTTTTTATATAATATAATATAATGTATATAATATATCATTAATCACCTAAATTTATCAATAATTTTGTCTATGGTACATATGTATATGGTATATAATCAATTTTGTTTATAAACATAGTAAGAGGGCTGAGCACTTTAGAAGATAAAGACGACAATGAAAGCCTAACAAGATCGAAGATCGAAAAAGAAGTTTTTACTCAGCACTTTAACTAGTTTGAATGTCTAAGCAAAACTATTGCTTCTAGTTGAATTAGCAGCTCGTAACTTCGTCTTCTCTCTGAGAGCAGAGAAGAAAAACACGAACGATCGGCGCTGATTTCGCTTTCGACGCGATAATATTCTGTTAATTTGCGAGATAGAATGGAGTGCATTATGTGGAGAGTGGAGAGTGGAGAGTGAAGAGTGCGTCAGCATGCGAGCTCTTGCACATTCATAATTCACTCAAACTCAAAGAAATGCGTCGGCTGCCTTAGCACTTGCTGCATAGAAAGTTCTATTCGAAGTAGTGCAATAAAAAAGAAGTATGTACATTCTAAATTGGTATCTGTTTTTTTTTTTTTTTTAATAGTCGCAGCTGACTTATAACTTGGCCTTTCTGCTGTCATTTTCAAATATTACTTTCATTTAATTGCAATCAACTCGAGTGGCTGAGCAGCACAACATTTGTGTAGCTCCAGCTTTCCTTGTTGTTGTTGTTGTTTTTTTTTGTTGTTGTTGGTTCTGTCAGCACTCGCCAACAGTCGTTGCACTTATGACAGCCCAGAGAGAGAGCTGGACATGCATATATGTATATATATACATCCATGCATACATATACATATACATATATGTGTATATGTATATATACATATATATGTATGTGTATATGTATATTGCTGGGCCGATCTGTGGCCCAGACATCGGCTAACCAGGCAAGGAGCTATAAAAAGCCATAGACAGGCTCCGCATATAAATGCATTGAACTTTGGCCGTGTTGTTGCACATATGCAACAACAACAACAACAGCACACACACAAACACACA